TCCTTTTTCTTACATGAGTGTATTTGCAAAGACCACTTTGTTCCATACAGGATACATTTCCTTATCAAAGCAAACACCATATCATTTTGTCTCAGAAAATATCAATAAAATTCATCCACCTTTAAAAAACATTAACAAAAATATTTGAGTGAGGTTAGTCACAGACATAGGATTCAGTCTAACTCAGTGATGGAAAACTGAGTGCAAACTGGGCCGAATTTCTCAGAAACCATGGAAAAGAGCTCAACATTCTCTCCTCAATAGGCTGAATCTCAAAAACTGAAACAGAAACACATGCTCACACTTTTTGCTATTCAGTCAGAGTTTTATTTGTTCTTTCTTGCTTTGTGAATCAGCAGCTAAGGAAACTTTTGTTATAACTATCGCAAAGCTGGGAATCTAGCTATCTTTGTGAAAGCTTATTGCCTAGATTTTAAACTCCCTAATACATGGAAAGAAATCTAATCCCATTTTTTGCATAGTTTATTTCCCAACATTTTAATGAACCTCACCAACACTGACATTCTTTGCTATTCCTGTAAAAGACCAGGATTCCTACTTCAGCTGAAGTGTCCTCCTCCTCCTGTATAATAAGCCTCAAATTTGCCATTCCTAAGACCTTCAAACACAAAACTTGAGCAAACCTATCATCACAAGTTTGCCTCTGTGAAACAAAGTTTAAAGATGCAGTACACTGCACAATGCAGAAAAGTACAGTCTTTGAGGGCCAGGTAGTTAACATACCAAAGTCAGTCTGAATCTGCTAATATGAAAATAAAGAAAAAAAAATGGGTTGTTTCATTTTCTGGAGTTATTCCTATGCTTCTGGTACACTAACTATTTGTATGTCTCTTCCATGTACCTTCCTTAAGGAATATAATCTAAGGCCTGGAGACATTCCAGATCTTTGAAGGCAGCTATATTATGAAATTCTGCTACAGCTATTCACAGGAAAAAAAAGAAACAATCAATGACATAAAGAAATTTTTACATGATTCTTGGATATGTGGCAAATTATTTTGAATCAAAACAGCAGGGTATTGGTTTCTGGTAACGTGCATGTTTATGTGAAATGGGAAGAAAATTAATATGAAAAACATTTCATAATTGACAAAGTGGTAGAAACTGAAGGGCAACAAGAAAAGTTATTTCTCTCTACCTAGTTAAGTAAACTTTGAAAAAATTACTAGCTAGACAAAAACAGCTCTGGAATAAGAAAGAACATATATATCCCTTACTATCCAATTCCTAGTATGATCAGTACTCAGGGAGTGCAGGTCAAGGAGATAAAATTGACAGCCATTGGAGACATGAGTGTGTAGAAGAGGGTGTCCTTAATTGTCACGACCAGTTGCTTCAGTTTCTCTCACAGCATATTATTTTAATTCTCTGGTTTGGTCAAATTCCACCCACCAGTGATTATTAATAACAAAAACAATTTCTTCTGCTTCTCATGCATTAGCTTTCTATTCCACCATGTTGAGAGATCTAAAAGACTGTGAATGAACAAGAGAGAAGACAGATTCCAGCTTTGGCACTATTTTAAAGAACTAAGAAATGAACAGCATAAGGGAGAAAGATGTGGTTGCATTAGGGGAAAACACGCTCAAAAGCTCAGCAAAATACATGTAAGACTTGGCCTTTCTCCAGCTAGGATTTAAAAGGTAACAGGATGGTACACAATTAGATTTCAAGAACTTAAAAACTTCATATTGAAAGTATTTTTAAACTAAATACCAATAGCATAGATTATGAGAAATTGATCTATATATGCTTTTTAATGTAGCATTGAGGCTGTAGAAAACCAGTAGTCTTCAGTTATTTTTTCCACATTCAACCTCATTTCCACCATGTTCAGCTTTTTTTTCCGTAGATGGCACTCTTTCCGATGGAGACTACAGCAGAATCTATCACTGTAAGGGTAATTTGACACACTAGAAAACTCTGTTCGTTGAATAACTTAATTTGCTGCTACAAAGAAGTTTATCTTCCTTAACCTGTTTCAAGTGGAGAGGCAGAAAGTCAAATAGCAAAACTAATTAAACAGAAACAAGTGTTCATGATTTGATCAAACAGCATGTTACACATGACAGCATACTAGTTTCTCAGAAATACACTCAACACGAGCTCTATACTCCAACCTGTAAAAATACAGAGAGGAGAATATTTTAGGTGAAGTTCTAAAGTGACAAATATTTTGTTAAAGATACAGGAAGATTAACACAATTTGTGTGAATGCTAAATAATTCATGAATGGAATTAATTAAAAATATATCCAAGTTCCAGTTTACTTTTAAAGCATTCTCAGGGGAAAAGAAAAAAAAATCCAGTAATTCTGCAAGGTCATTTACACAGTTAGGATGAAAATTTACAAACGCTAGTTAAAAAAATAAAAGTATCAATCCACTGACAAGACCACTCCAGAAGATTCTACACAGTAATTCCTGTTTTATCATGCTGGAAAACTGTATGGTGCAGGATGAAGACTACACACAGTGACAGCAATTCAAATGAGCACTGCAGAATAACAAGGGTTTACCAAGCTACAAATGAAGATCAAATGTTGATCCATTCAGAATTTTAACAAATAGATAAAATTATACAGAATATCTGACATTCCCTCAAAGCATGCAGACAACTTCCCATAACAATACAGCAAAAGAAAAAATTTGAACCTTAGAACAATTTTTAAGAGCCCACTTGAACAATCAAATCCAGATACCTTGAAAAACAAGCAGGCATCTACTAAACATATAGTTTCTAAAGAGTTCATACACCCTACACATCGTACTTCCAGAGCTCCCTACAACAACAACAACAAACTCAAAACCCATAAATATCATGTGCAACAGGAAGAAAGCTGGAGAGACGGACTTCACCCAAAGCCTTGAATTCTTATAATAGCAAAGAAATTGTTAGCCAAAATCTCCAAATCACTAGATAGTTCCTGCCAATCTGACAGGGACATATTCCAGACAGCAAAATCTATTAAGTTTTTAAACCTTGACCAGTTACCAAGGCATATCAGCATCTCATAAGCAGAAATTCCAGTAAAACCCATTCTATACTTGCAGTACTCCAGACAAAAGACAACCTCTATATCCTCATATAAATTGAGGGAGAAATAATTTTTTTCCTGGCCCCTGAGCATAACCCTGGGGAACTCTGAAACAAAAATAATTCAGTGTAAATATAGCAGAAACATGCACAGTCTGTAAGTAGCAATATGATCTCCTTTTAGCATTCCTTGGACTAATCAATAAAGTGGATGCCCAAGGACTTCACTTGGAAGCTTACGTTTTATCTACTCTTCAAGCTCTGTTTAATTCCATTTCTCTCACTACTCTTGTCTACTATGCTAATTAGAAACCTTCTTCAAATTTCCACTGTAAATTTATTCATGTCCAATACACACCCAAATTAGGATTCACAAACTTAAGCGATACTGGTGCAACAGGTGAAATGCAGTCACATAACAAAACAAATATTAAAGAGCAAATCATCCATCCTTGAAACAGAGTGCATGTACCACTCTGAGAATAACAGATCTAAATCCAGAAACTTGTTTGCTAGTTTATAGAACTTCTCCCACAGTCCTCCCTCATCACAAACTCACTATTATTAATTCCTTATATAACTCCTTCCAGGATCCACTGACTTTCAGACTTCATTAATGGGTGGCATCACTTTTTAATAGAATTCTGCCTGTGAAAAGATTCAGGATCCACACCTTCACAAGAAAATTTTACTGAAATGTATCATCGTGCCTTGCAAATTTTCCACTTTCTAAGCTTCAGATGGGCCCCAGATACCACCGAGTTCTCAATACATATTATAGGTTAGAGAAGAAAAGAGGAAAAAAAAAAGAAAAAAAAAAAGGAACACCCCCCCCAAAGCAGCCATAAGCTAAATACGAAAGAATTTGTCCATAGCAAAGAAAATATTTTAACAACATTCTGTAGATGTAAATAGCTGTTCTAAATCTCTAGCATTCATATGCTTAATGATATGCAAGAGCCAATAATAGTTTTCTATGCTCTTGTACTAATTTTATTCATACTATGATCTGTCAGGCAAACTGGTGTTTCTACCAAACTGGAAGTTCAATCAGACTACACTGTTGCTGAGTTTCTAAGGAAACAGACCCATTTATCCCAATTTCCCTTACTGTGGGTAGCTTGTACACAATCTTCCAGCAATTTTCACCCTTCTTAACAGAAAGCAACAGGGTCTTTCTGAGGAAGACTCACACTGTCTTGTTTGCCTGACAGTAGTCACATGATAATGCTGATGGGCTGCTGGGATGTAGAGGGGCAGATGGGCTTGACACCAGGCCAGATTTTCTTTCAACTGTAGTAATCCAATCATCCCAAATCCAGTCCCCAAAATGCATTAACAAGTGATGTGGACAGCTGGTGTGGGTGGGCTTGGGATCAAATTAAGGATCTCTCAAAGTACAGCGCAGCCAACACCCCAGTGTTTTAATGTGGCAACATTATGTGGTATATTTACTTAAAGAGTTGGGGTACCACATGTGAAAATACATTAGAAATGCACATAGGCAGAAGCCTTTGTTTAAATGGAAGGCAAAACATTTTAAAACACTCATTTCAAACACAAAGTGTATAAAATCAAACACAACAGTAACATGCACTCATGACTAGTTCATAGCAACAGAAGGTATTACTTCCCTCTTCAGTAGTTCTGGTCTTCATTTGCCAAACACCAGTTTGTCAAAATACAAGGAATACAGAAACTACATAAAGCAACGTCAGAGTTGATAAGCCCCAAATACAATAACTTTTCTTCCATAATTTCTTATACTTGCTTTCAAATGTCATATAGTCCTGTTATGTATTTATTACAGATGTAAAGCTATATCTTTTTTATGAAAAAAATGAGAGCAGAAAAAGAAAACACTTAGATACTCTAAAGTATATTTCTAAAACTGTGAGTACTTTGACAATATCTTTTAAACAAATAAATGAGTTTTTCGTTACCTCTCTAAGATGCATGTTTTCCTTCTCCTTCTGATCTAAAATCACTTCTAAATGATTAACCTGAGATTCAGCCTCTGCCATCCTTCGGGTTCGCTCGTTGTCATCTTCCATTCCTTTAGATGGCAAGCCTTTACTTTGCAACATTTCCAGAAGCTTTTTTATTGATTCATCTCTGGCATTTAACGTTTGCTTTTGTGTTTCAATCCTAAGCTCCATTTCTTCTAGTGTTTTTCTCAACAGGAAGAGCTCTTTAGCTTGTCGATCATGTTCTGCTTGAAGTCTTCGAAAATTCTCCTCTGTGAGCTCAATGGTAAAATGCTCAGCCCCGCGGTTACCACTTTCTTGCTGGAGAAGATGGTTAAGGTCTCTCTGGGTTCTAAGCTCATCCTGAAGTGCCTGGATTGTCATTTGCAGATGCTGCAATACAGAAAAGAAATTAAAACCAAAAACAAAAACAACAAAAAAACCCACAATTTAGAATCTGAATGTAGGATTAGTCTTGGATTAAACTTTTGTTGTATGCTGTTACAAAAAATCATTAGAGTCAATGATGAAAGTATACCAAATGACCTTATAAAATAGCAAATGCATGGGACAATATTTGTAATGATATCTTTCAAGTGCTTCTAGAAAAAAAAAAGACAATAAACACACACACAAAATAGTGTCAGCTACAGATAAAATAAATAGCAAAGAAAGGCAAACCAACAAACCCAAACACTAGGCAGTAACACATCCATTTGTACAATCAATATGTACCTACAAAGCTGAAAGACTCAGTATTCCATGTTTTCTAAATTACTTCATAGACTAAAGGTAATTCTGTCCTTCATGGTGCTCAACAATACTGTTGTTTATAAAGTCCATCAAAGCACTCACTACAACTGAAGTGGGCTATGGGGAGGGGCTGAGTTGGGGCTGGTTGGTTTTTTCTTTTGGCAACTAAAGCTATGAACATGTTTAGTAAACAGGATTACTGTATCTCTAACAAGCAAACAAAAAACCACAATAAGCAATACTGAATTTTGAAAAATAAATTGACTGCAAATAGTGGACAAACCTTTGTTCTCCTGGCATCCAAAAACTGAACAGCATGGTAAATGAAAAAATGAAGCAAAATCAACATAAATAAAGGTCAGATGCAAGCAAAGCAGATTCAACAGAAAGAACTGAATTCAACAAAAAGTACCTTCAACTGAAAAAAATAATTGAGTTATACAGAAAGGCACCAACAACTTCACAGTACTCAGATATATAAATCTAAACTATAGACAGACTTTACTCAATAGATATGACAAAGAAAAATGTATTAGAAATAATCAATCCCACAATGAATAATAACATTCCTATTCTATCTTACTGTTCTTTTACACTTTAAGGTTTTTCAAAACACAGTAACTTGTCCTAAAATATTTGTACTACATCTGAGTACAGGGTTCTTTCTCTGTTCAAGTAGTAAATCTTGCACTCCTTATTCAACGCAAATCAAAATCAAAAAGGGTTTTGCCCTTGTTAAGGTTGGAACATAGATAATAATCCTAAAATACTATGGTTTACGATGTTCATTTCAGTTTGTATTTTTATCTATTTGTTTTTCTTCTGATTTTTCCCCTCTATTCACTGCCTACACAGCATACTGTATTTATAGAAATATGAATTCCTGAATAGTCGCACAGTCTGGACCAGAAGATATTTGATTGCAGAAATTAGGGGACTTAAATGCATGGCACCAGAGTTTTTTTGCATGAATGGATATTCTGCTACTCCACATTCTAAAAACAAAACAAAAAACCAAACACACACAAAAAAACCCAAACAAACAACAAAACATTATTTAATTTGATACTACCATCATGTTTAGCACAATTACATCTAAAGCTGTCAGTTTGTAACAATAATTTAAACTAAATGAAAAACGCAAAACCTTAAGAAAAGAACTTTTGAAAACACATCTTTTATCAGTTATTTCAAATGGAAAAAAGTATTACCAGTGGTAGAATTCTGTAGTTAAACACCTTGAATCTGTTCTATCATTAATAGCACTGTTTTAATCAATGTCCAAATCTTAATTCTCTTAATATTTGCATCTTATTAGGCACACACTCAGTTAAGAGCATACAAATGTAGGCTACTCATTTACAGCTCTGCTTTTATTTAATGGTAATTCTTAGCTTTTCTTTATCTCATAATCTCTTTAATTATTTATATAAACTTAAAAGCTCCTAATAAACTTAAAACTCCTCTAGATGTAGCAATTTTCCCACTTAAATCTACTAATATACTGAGTGTTTATGACCCTAAGGCTGACAGTTTTAGTACAGAAATTCAGTGCATAAATCCGAATCACATTTTCAAGTAGTATAGAAGTTATATTCAATGATTATCATGAATGAGTGAATTAAAGATCTAGGAAGGCAATGCCAAAGAGGAGCAGATGCTGCAAAGTAAACAGAATCAAAACCATTTCTTTTTAAATGCTTTTTCACTATGTTAAGTCATAGGAACATAATTTTTGTAGATTACCTTAACCAGCCAATGCACTAGTTTTGCAATGATTCCAAACTAAATGACATCTTGCATTAGAGAATACAGACTTACAGTATTCTCTAATCCTTTTTAGCTTTGTAACACTGAAAGTTAGAGGAGAAAAGATACTTGAAAATACCGAATGAAAAATAATATAGTTTTTACTAAATAGATTGCAAGTTTTCTTTATACAAGAAAGTATTATTTTTCTTCGCTAGCATTAGAGCATAAATATGGATTAAATCCTCATTTAAAAGTATTAAAAAGAAAAGGAAAAAGAAAACCAGAAACCACGTTCATATTACATTACATTCTTCAATATATGACTATTGAGATGGAAAAGGCAAGGCAGCAGGTGAAAGTAACATTTCACTTTTTCAAAAAAATAAATTCTCAGAAAAAAATGTGACAGACACCTCAAAGAATACATTGGAATATCTCCATTCTCATCTTTGAGAACATTTTAGCTTAGTTGATGATGACGCAAGCTACTTCAAAATTACACTCAATAGTTTGTTTCAGTGGCATGACTGATAAGGGATTTTTTTTTTTTTTTAGGTATTTAAGAACTCATAATACAAGTTTCTATCTTGAAGCTCAAGGAACAGGTTTTTCTCTGTTCAGGTTTTGTTGTTGTTACTGGTTGGGGGTTGGGGGGATAGCACTTAAATCCCAGCTTCTGACAGAAAGCAAGTGTGCATGAGACTCACAGCTTCCATTTACAAAAATACATTTTTATTCAAAGGCTTCAAAGGAAACCATGAGACTGTTGCAAATGTGACAAAAATTAAAACAACCACAATCAAATAAAGAATAAAATTTATATAAAATTTTTCATACAATCTTATAATTTAGCAAAACAGCTTCTTTTTTTATGACTTTGCACTTGGAATTATATAACTGACCTATCTGACACATCTTTACTTGTTTTTCTGGTGGATGAAAAGCTGGACATGAGCTGACAATGTGCGCTAGCAGCCCAGAGAGCCAACCATATCCCGGGATGCATCAAAAGAAGAGTGACCAGCAGGTCAAGCGTGGTGATTCTTGCCCCTCTACTCCGCTCTCATGAGGCCCTACCTGGAGTACTGCATCCAGCTCTAGAGCCCTCAGCACAGGAAAGACGTGGACCTGTTGGAGCAGGTCCAGAGGAGGGCCACAAAAACGATCAGAGGGCTGGAACACCTCTCCTATGAAGACAGGCTGAAAGAGTTGGGCTTATTCAGCCTGGAGAAGAAAAGGCTCCTCGGAGACCTTATTGCAGCCTTCAGTGCTTAAAGGGGGCTTATAAGAAAGATGGGGACAAACTTTTTAACAGGGCCTGTTGTGATAGGACAAGAGGTAATGGTTTTACATAAAAGAGGGTAGATTTAGATTAGCTATAAAGACGACATTTTTTACAATGAGGGTGGTGAAACACTGGAACAGGTTGCCCAGAGAGGTGGTAGATGCCCCATCCCTGCAAACTTTCCAGGTCAGGTTGGATGGGGCTCTGAGCAACCTGATATAGTTGAAGATGACCCTGCTCATTGCAGGGGGCTTGGACTAGCTGACCTTTAAAGATCCCTTCCAACCCAAACTATTCTATGATTCCTGTTATGGAAGGAAGCCTTGATTAGAGCTTATTGAAAATTTTCAGATTAAAATTATGGAAAAATAGATTTGTAACCATTTAAACTGTTCATAACTTTGCATCAAGCTTTGCAAACAGCAGCTCTCAAAATCTCAAAAGAATTCAAGGAATATTTTCTTTTTTGTTTTTCAAACTAGAAGTTAAGTCTTTTAAACTTTTTCATGCTATTTTTAATTTTAAGTAGTCTTTTTTTTTTTTTTTAATGGAGTTAGAATTTTTCTAAGTGACATACTTCCTTTTGATCAAACAAAATTTCACTCAACATTATACAAAGAAATTTCCCTTCTAGTTAATTTTCAAGTTGGTGTCCACATTAGCTATCAGCCAGAGCTTCAGTCGCAGGGCATTTATTTGAAGAATGATGCTCATATCTATATATTCTTCAAAAGAATGACTGACTGAACACACATAAAATTTACTTTGCATAAGCACAGTAAACTAAATCCTCTGCATTCCAAAATTATTTCACTACTAAGCAACAGCAATATTCAGCAACTACTAGTAGTCTAGAAATAGTCAAAAGAATTGTTTTCTCTGATCTGAATAATGATTTAAGATACACCCTCCTAATGTTAAATTAAACAATATTTATTACTTGATGCTAAAAGCTATTTACAGCAGTCTCTGTACACTAAATGACTATACAACCATAAGACTTCAGCTAAGCAAAGGGAAACTAATTTCCAAAATATTTAAAATGATGTAAGAAAAATAAAAGCAAACTTAATATACACGTTGCTAACATACAACCCTTCCGAATGGAAGCTGTAAAAGCCAAAACTGTTGGATCAATACACAAATAATTAGAAATCAGAACTCAAACATCAATTCTGGTTAAGATAGAACAGACAACTTCCTTTTCTGTCCCACAGCAACCTATGTATGCAATTCTTAGGTTCTACCCATGACCATGTTTGTCATTAAACACAACAGTAGTTGTGGCTGCTTCTCAGTAATTATGTTAAAACTAACAGCCTCAGCTGTGGCAGGCTACTGCTACTTTGACATAAAAGAATCCATTTTTGTACACCTTCAAGACTTAGAACTCTCTTTGAACACGATGGACTAGATTTAGACTTGTGGTGGCACAGATTTTTGTATCTGCAGCTAGCTAAGAAAAGGAAAGAACAAATGTTGTGAGGGTGGAAAGAAATTGTATAATTAATTGCAGTGGGGGAGGAATGTAGGAGTGCTGTGAATATCTGTCATGCTGCTGTCATCACACAGACATAGAACTTTATGGGATTTTAAAAAAAAA